GCCTGTGGTCCCAGCTACTTGGGAGGCTGAGGCAGGAGACTCGCTTGAGCCCAGGAGTTGGAGGTTGCTGTGAGCTGTGATGCCATGGCTCTCTACCCAGGGGACAGCTTGAGGCTTTGTCTAAAATAAAATAAAATAAAATAAAAAACAACAACAATAAAAAAGAAGGCTCTTTTGTCTACATTGAAAATTCCTTATTTTGTGTAGTCATCCTCATCAGTTATGCTAGAAATCAGGCATCCTCAAACTACAGCCTGCGGGCCACATGCAGCCTGCCTAGGACATTTATCTGGCTTGCCAGGTCTTTTTGCCGCCATTGCCTATCCTGCTTAGCAGCACTTGTCCCAGGGCCCACAGTCCGGCCCTCCCAATGGTCTGAGGGACAGTGAACTGGCCCCCTGTTTAAAAAGTTTGAGGACCCCTGTAGATCTTCTTGGATAACTTGCTGCTGGTTCTGCATCAGCCCTTGCTGCTTCACCTTGTACTTTCATGTTACGGAGATGGTTGCTTTCTTTAAATCTCATGAACCGTCCTCTCTCAGCTTCCAACTTTTCTTTTGAAACTTCCTCACCTCTCTCACCCTTCAAAGAATTAAAAAGAGTTAGGGCCTTGCTCTGGATTGGGCATTGGCTTACGGCAATACTGTGGTTCATTTAATTTTTCTATCCCAACTACTAAAATTTTCTCAGCAAAGCTCATATGCTTATTTATTGTCTGTGTGTTCACTGGAGTAGTACTTTGAATTTCCTTCAAGAACATACCCTTTGTATTTACAACTTAGCTGTTTCTCTCAGCTTTCAACTAGCCTTCCTCACTAAGCTTAATTATTTCTAGCTTTTGATTTAAAGTGGGAGATGTACAATGCTTCCTTTCTCTTGGAACACTTAGAGGTCGTTGTAGGGTTGTTAATATTGGTGTCCAAATTTCAATATTATTGTGTCTTGGGGAATAGGAGTGGGAGAAAGACAGGGTAATGGTCAGTCAGTGGAGCAGTTAGAACACACAGAACATGGCCTCTTATGTAGATATGGTTTGCATTGCTCCAGAACAATTTTAATAGTAATATCAAAGATCATCAATCACAGATGACTGAAACAGATATAACAATGAAAATTTGAAATATTTTGAGAATTATCCAAATGTGATATAAACACAAAGTGAGGAAATGCTGTTGGAAAAATGGTATGAGAGACTTGCTTGATGCAGGGTTGCCACAGACTTTCAATTTGTAAAAAACACAGTATCTGTTAGGCACAATAAAGCAGACCTCAATAAAATAAGTATGCCTGTACCTTCCTTCACATGATTGTTATAACTATTAAATTATTTAATAACATTAAGTACTTAGAATAGCATTTGCCAGAGAGTAGTTAATGAATATTAACTTATTATTCACTCAAATGTCACTGTTTCATTGAAGAACTATGGAACTAAAAATAAGTGACTCCTTGCCTAGGGTTGACAAATAAGTTTTCTTGCATGTACATGCCAGTGCCATTCAGTGACTCTGGAATGTTGGGTTGAAAGCATATTGAGGGCGTGTGTGGTATTAGCTGGAAGAGCACATTGGTAAATTACTGGTGGTTATCATAGGAGACACCATGAAGAAACATGTCTTGTATTTGTAATCCCTAACACAGCTTACTCCCCAGTTTTTGGTTGAGGTATCAGGTAGGTTATTTATTTTTTCTAAGGGCTATGAAAGGTAATGCTGAGTATGTAAAGGGGACCTTTAATAGAATCTTGAATGCCAGGCAGAGGAGTTTGGACATAATTTGAAAGTAAGTTTTTCAGCAGAATAGGCATGAGTTGCAAACAGAAGGTTAATCTGCCACTGATTTGCAGGATCATTGACAGTGGTTGTCATGCTATATTTCCTTGATTCATCTATTAGTATTTTTAATATCGAGTGCATTAACCCAACAGGGTTGTTGTGAAGATTAAATGGGTTAACACATGTAAGTCACTTCAATCAGTGCTTAGCATACAGTACGCACTAGTGTTAAGTGTTAGCTATTACTTTTATTATAATTGTTGTACAATGAATATGTACATTTAATGTAGTGCTTTTTTTAAGCTGAAAGCAGCCGGTTTCTTAACAATAGATGACATATTAGAATGGTAAGATTACAGAGCAGATGTGAGATAATTAGAGACTGGTATACGGAGGTAGTTGTGAAAATCCAGAAGAGGTAAGTCTGAGAGAGATCAAAAGAATTGGCTTGATGATATGTTGGATATAATGAATTCAGAAAACACTCTAAGACAACCCTCAGATTGCAAACCTGAATGAATGGGAAATGGGCTTAGCTTAGGAAATAAATGTTATTTTATCTTTGTAAAGTACTTAGAACAATGGCTTGCACATAGAAATCATTATATGTGTTAGTTA